GAAAAAAAATAAAATGAAATTTTTAATTTTTGATCAGAATTACCTCAACAGACTTTATAAGTATCCAAAATTCATCAAAAACAGAAAATGTCATCACACCTGGTGTTATTACATTCGCTATAGATGTCTGATATTTACAAACTTTTTTTCGTTTTACTTATTCGAGTTTCACTATCAGAAAAGATAGCATATAAAATAACAACGACAATGAGTAAATATTTGGTAACAGGATCAGGGTAAGATTTATTAATATTGCGCAGTATATTATATATTTGATTCGGGATTCAGTATTATTCATTTTTTTTTTCGTAAGATTTTACAATAGCTATGAGTGCCGGTTGTTCCGATTTACGCAAACGTTGGAATGATCTTGTTGGTAAATCGGAAAAAGAAGCAGTTGAAACAATTAAACGAGATGGTAAGAAAGACATTGATATAAAAGAAAACAAAAACAAATGAACTTTTATTTTATTGATGACAAAAATAGGTGAACAAAATATTGAAGTAGTCGATGATGGTACACCAGCAGCTGACGCAACAATTAAAAGTGGTGTCGTACGTGTCATTTTGGATGAAAATAAAAAAGTTAAATATCCACCACTTCGACAAAATTGAATACAAAAAAAAATCTATGCTTATACATTATATTATCATGTCTGAAAAAAATATATGAACTTTAAAAATCAGTTTTCTTATAATCACTTTTTTTCAATGTCTATATAGAATTTTCTAATTAAACTGGATACTATGAATCATTATAAAACATTTTTAAAAATATAAAACTGAATAATAATGATTTATTAAAAACAAACACTAATAAAAGAATAAAATTTGTTGTCTGAATTTTTCAAAAATATTGTCTTGATCTTATATATCGTTTTCCAAGTCTTTATTTGTTGTAAATTAAATTTGATATTCATTCTATATCAGAATAATACTCATCATACAAAACTATGATCTCTATGCCATAATATCGACTGAATACGATACGATCATAGTATAAAATCATCAAACATTCAATAAAATAAATTTCAAATCTTTTAATTAATCCGTTGGTTGTTTCTCTTGATAGTAGAAGTAACAAAAAACAATGCAAAAAAATGTTATGTATATCAACGCGACAACTGAAGTCTATAGAGGTATTGTTACTTATACACTCGATCAAAATAATTTCTTATCAGTCATTAATACTAAATGTTTAACTAATAAATAAGAATCCAATGTTTCACAATTCAGATTTGTATTAGTCTTCAATGTTTATTTGATTTAAAATCTTTTAATTAAATTTCAAAGACACTGTTTATATCTACACAAAAAAAAACTTAAATTTTATTTAATAGTTTTAATTTTTATGAAAACTAAATTAATTTATTAATATCATAAAATTAGTCTTAATTCTGTATTAGATACGACATATTAAATAATTCAACGTACATATTCATATCGAAATTAAATGCAAGAATAAAATATTTGTTGGTTAAAATATGCTAAAAAATATATTATGTCTAAATGAGACATGTTGAATGTGATGCAGAATTGATTGAATATTTCTATTGAAAAAAAAAACATGGCTTATGTTGCACATTTTGACGTAAAGATCTCATGAATTTTTTCGTCGATTTTTAGTATTCAGTATATGTACCTTTATGATTATAATGTTGTGTCTCATTGGCCTCTCGTGTCGTTGCTTGACAGCCTATTTTTTTCTGCTCATTCCACCACAGGTATTAACTTTTTATTTATTATAGACTCATTCGAATCTAGTATCATCTTCAATTTTGCTGTCCATATAGTAACGTTAAAGAACAACGAAAATACTATGGCCTTGAATGATCCTATAACGTTGAATTTAAGCTTATTTAATAGCTTTGTAAAAAAAAAAGTAATTTTATACATTCTTCCATATCTTATACAAATTGAAAAATATAAAGCATTTTTTTAAAAATCTATTAATATAGACTAGAAAAAAAATTTATAAAAGCATTCTTTATTTTTCTACAACTTATATTTGATAATTTAAAAAATTGATAATTTGATCATCGTGATATTCGATTTTGCGTATTATAAGCTTGAAGTCAACAATAACGTCATAATTTATATGTACAAAGAACCAACAATGAACAACTACATTGATACTTTTTTTGCTTAATATTAATTATATATAAATGGTAAACATATACGAATAATCATCATCCAATGTATCTGAATTCATTTTTTTTTTGTCATTCAAAATGTCAATCAAGTAAAACTCAATAGTTTATAGAAAAATTATCAAGACAAAGTCTTTGAATGATTACAATAAAATTATGCTCAATATGTATAAAAATATTTTTAATATCTAAAGAACATAACTAAAATTTTAATATTATTATCCTATGCTTGTACTTGATATTCGATAAACAAAAATATCGGCAATTATATATAATGTAGGTAATCATATGTCTAATGAACTTGAAGATCTTTAATAATGGTTACTACTTTTGACATATAGACGTCTTCATATGTTTTTATTTGTATTCAGACAAATTTTTCTATTTCTTCTTTTAAAAAAAAAATTAAAAAGAAAAATAATTTTAATTCATTGATCTCCAATCATATGGTTGTTTTGGTTTATTTTTTAAAGCTTGTTCTATTTCTTCCATAATATCAGGTGTTAATTTTGGAATAAATGTTAATGCTTTGAAATTTTCTGTCACTTGACTTGAACGACTTGCACCAGTAATAACTGTACTTACATTAGAATTTTTAGCTACCCAAGCAAGAGCTAATTGTGCTAATGTTGCACCTAATTTTTCAGCAATTGGTCGTAAATTTTCAACTATTTCCATAATACGATCAACATTTCTTTCTTCAAGACCATTAAGACCTTGACCAGATTCTAATTGTTCTCGAAGCCATGATAAGTTTCCTTTAAGACCTAAACGATTATCACCATCAGCAAACTTTTTATCACTATATTTTCCAGTTAAAAGACCAGATGCTAATGGTGACCATATAGTTGTACCATAACTAATTGGAGGTTTATAAAGACGTGCATATTCAACTTCAAATCGAGTACGATGTAACATATTATCTAAGAAGGAAAGAAAAAAAGAAAAAAAATTATATTATTAATATTTAAAAATTCATTTACATTGTGGTTGTTCAGCACATGGTCCAATTAAATTAAGTTTATCGGCTACTTCCCATGCTTCTCGAATTTCTTCAGCTGACCATTCTGATGTTCCCCAATAAAAAGTATAACCTTGATCAATAATCCAATTAAATGCTCGAACAATTTCATCCATTGGTGTATGTGAATCCGGACGATGTGCAAAAACAATATCAACATATTCAAGATCTAATCGTTTTAAACTTCCTCGTATGCCTTCAATAATTCGTTTACGTGATAAACCTTTTAAATTTGATTTATTTGCTTCTCCATGATAATATGGTGTACCCCAAAAAAGTTTTGTTGCAATAACTAAATCACTTCGTTGAATACCATCTTGATCGAACATTCTTTTAAGTACTTGACCCATAATTGTTTCAGCTCGACCAGCAGCATATACTTCGGCATTATCAAAAAAATTACAACCATTATCATAAGCAATTTTCATACAATTATATGCTTCACCTATATCAAATTGTTCACCAAATGTTACCTAGATAAATATTTTATAAAATAGAGAATTTTGTTATTTCTTTTTTTTTATAAATCTTACCCATGCTCCAAATGATAATACACTAACTTTAAGACCCGTTCGACCTAAATGTCGATATTCCATCAATTCTTTAGGACTTTTATTTGTAGCCGACATAATCAAACTTAAAAGGTCTAAAAGCACAAGTGAAAAGTATTTTATTATAACCTTTCTTTTTTTTATTTTTCTTCGTCTGAAAAATACTGAAGCGTTCTTCGTATGATTATTGCCCCTACATTATTTACGATTGTTTTTTCTTTTCCTTTTATATTGTGATACCATACCATCGAAATCGATTAGATAGAGTCTTGTCAGCTGATATGTAGAGGTAAATAAATATTATCAACATATAAGGTATAATTTTCATGGCATACAGATTAAACCAATAATTACGATTCAGCAAAAATAAAAAAAGATTAATGATAACGATATGTTAATATAACACGACTATACATATAAAAAAATGTAATACTTTTCAGTATCTATAGACATCTATTGGTTGTATTCGACTCAATAATCTTTCAAAGTGCAATAAATGAATGATTTCATCGAAATGTAAAAAAGAAAACAGATGGAATTTTTATTATGTAAAAAAAAAAATAACAAATATATTTTACGTTTGATTTTTCTACTGCTAGACAGTAAAGTGATTAGCCTTTTTTTATTCAATATTAATTAACTGTTTGGTGATCGATGACGCATACATGCGTCATAAGTTTCATCATCACGTGAAACTAATGTAACCACTTATAAGGCATATTTTTGTTGATACATTTGGATAAAAGCAAACGTCAAACAGAACAAGCTTTCAACAGTATCATTTTGTTGCGGCCCATGTTTAGATTTCTCCATTAAGAAACGAAAATGTAAGCTCGCATAAAACCAATTTATTTTACGTATGTGTATTTTTTGTTAGTAATCAAAAAGTTAAGGGCCCCCCACCCCTCTAAATTTTTTTTTCCCCCAGAACACTCAATCTTACTGAAATTTTTATTGAATATGTATCTGACCATTGATAGTTCTCAGTAAAAATTTGAGCTCATAATATTGAGTTTTTCGCGAGTTATTGTAACATCAAGGGTCAAAAGTAGGCGTCTGTGTGTCAAAGATTTTGTTTTCAATTTTAGTGATACGGACCTCGGGATGGTGTCAAAATGTAGAGAAGACCTGCCCCTACAACCTAACAAAGCCGGATTTTTGAAAAAAAAAAAATTAATTTTTTTAGACAGTTTTTTCGAAAAACCTAGATCAATTTTTTAGAAAACTCGAGTTTTTTGTAAACAAATAAATCGAAAACAAAAATTCTGGCTTTGTTAGGTTGTAGCACTGATATTTACCTTCATTTTAAAACCTTCCCGAGCATTCTAACATTTAAAATGGCGGAGAAATCTTTGACACACAGTCAAAGAAAACGAAAAAAAACAGTTTCGAGAAAAACACAAAACAATTTTTTCTTTGATTATCGCGATTTTTTCGTTTAAAAATGGTAGTGAATAAACAAGAAGGCAGTTTATTATAGGTTATCGACTATGGCGAATCGTATGAGCACATGGAGAGATATGTGAGACGTAGTTCTTTTTACCTGTAAGCGTTGGTCTCACGAAAAACCATCAAAAACCACTGGTTTTTGAAAAAATCTATAAAATTACTTGAATTTAATATGTATAATGAAACTAGTGTTTTGAATCAGATATTACGAAACAAAACATTCAATTTTCTGTTGCCGAGTAGGCAAAAGAAAATTAATGACTTATTCTTGTGTTTATTGTATAAAACAACATACAACGAAATTCGCGGGTTCATGCTCAGTCATCACCACCTGGCTCGTAAGCATCATCCTCTTGAGTTTCACCTTCTTCACTCTCTATTGATTTCAATAACTGAAGTTTTCGAAAAAAAAAATTTTTGATGCAGGGGTCTTCAGAAAAACCGTTGTAAAACCCTCAAAACCCATCGAAAAACCAATAAATTATAGTGCGTTCGAAAGTAGAGATAATGGGCTATCTAACTATGTATAAATCTAAAAATCGCTATTTTTGTCGAAAATTCCTTTTTTTTGAGGGGTGGGGGGCCCTTAAGTCGCTTTATTACTAAATAACTTTATAGAAAATCTTTGAAATGTTATTATTAGGTTGAGTTTTTTTTTGAGATATTTCAATGATATCAAAATAAATAACAAAAGCAATAAAACAAAAAAAGTATATGAAAGTTCAATTTATTAAAAACTCTTTTTTGTTTTTTGTTCTCAAAATACATTAGTAATAAAGACAATAACTAATTCATTTTCTTATTTATCATTATCGATTGAAATAAAACATTTTTAAACTTCTTGATTATTTTCATTATTTCATATTTAACTGCAATACACAGAAACAATTTCTCATATGATAATCAGTATTCTATGAATCATTTCTTATTGACATATTTCTTTTCATCAAACCTTGAATTAACCGTTTAAAGAAATTGAATCGAAAATAGTTTGTTCATCACTCGTTGAAAGAAAAGCACATTCTTATTTTCTATTTTCAGAATTGCCATTAGCAAACTATCGACCTCGTTTAATATGTAAAATAAAAATTTTTCAGAGATTTATGACAAGAATAATGCCTACATACATAAACTAACATGATTAAATATAGAAAATAAAGATTAGCTATTAAATTTATTTTTTTTTCCCTTGAAAGTATCATATATTTAATAACAGAATGTTATATGTTATTAATCGAAGATTTTTATCTATTTATTGTACGTTATCGATTACAAAGGTATCAGACGAGACTTTTTCAATTTATTTAAGGTAACAGTAAAATTTGGAAATTGAAATACATCTGTTCATTTATGTATTTATTCTTTTATCTACAGGAAAAAAACGTTGAGAGTATAAAGACCGGAAGAAAATATTAATTGATCTAGACATATGTTAGTTAATTTTATGCCCAATAATAATTAAATGATGAGAGAGAAGAACAAATAATTCTATTTTTGTAAGTATTGTACTAGTTTGTGGGCTGTTTATTATGCACAATCTTAAGGAATGTTTTCCTCCACTAGAATTAGTTCTCGGTTTCTATTTATAGCGTAGATAAACCAAGTTAACTCAAATTAATATGAGAAAAAAAGAACCGATAACCTCCTGTCAATACTAAAAATAAAATAAGATGTAATCAATAGATAACGATATTTATCGTTGAATTTGTCATTATCTTTGAAAGTAGATCAAACAAAATGTCATATTTAACTACGTTCTTGAATATAAGAACATCTTATTGTTCTTTTAATCAGACGTGCTCAATACTTACGTGTCAATAATTTTATAAAAAAGATTAAGAACTTCTCTTATATCAACGGCAATCATTTGTTTTTTTGAAAAATGATCTTATAGCATCAATTTTCTCATGCGTTAAAATATTTTTAAGAATCTATTAGAAGAATAATAAGTATGAGATTCTTAATATCTTTTCTTTTTTAATACATAATATAGTATAATACAATTAAGAGACAAAAAAAATATTTTCAGTCACAGATCTATTTATTCAGATCTTCTAATTAATAATTTAGTTATATAGCCATTTGCATTTTAATAGGACGATCTGGTAAATAATTTTCAAGTTTGAAATCATTAATATGAAAATCATCAATCGAATTTCGTTTATTAACAATTGTTAATGTTGGAAATGGTTGTGGTTCTCGTTGAATTTGTTCACGTAATGGTTCAATATGATTAAGATAGACATGTGCATCACCCATTGTATAAATAAAATCACCTGGTGTTAAATCACATATATGTGCAATCATATACGTAAGTAAAGAATAAGACGCAATATTAAATGGAACACCCAAACCAAGATCACACGAACGTTGATACATAAGACAAGACAATTCTTTAGATGGTGATACATTAAATTGACACAATACATGACATGGTGGTAAAGCCATTTCAGGTATTTGATTTACATTCCATGCACATAAAATAAGACGACGTGAATTGGGATCTGTTTTAATCATATGAATTAGTTGAGCAAGTTGATCAATACCTTGACCTGTATAATCAGTTTTACAATCGATATATTTTGCACCATAATGACGCCATTGAAAACCTATAGAATATAATCATAATTAAACTAACAATAATATATATTTATAATTGAATAATTAATATTATTATTTGAAGAAATTTTATTGAAAAACAATTTATTTCCGAAAACTAATCAATGCATATCAAACCAGAATTCGTGAGTGAAAGTCATATTATTATTACATTACAATTGAAAGAATAATGTTCTTGCTGCTATCAATAGTAAGAAATTAATACTAACGAGGAAAGTCTTCCAAATGATTAATTGATTTTAAATTAGAACTATGTGCATCATGAAGATCCTAATGAGCTATGAATATCTTGAAAAGAGTTCAGATACTTAACTTATTACTGTGAAGGTATTGCATTTTTACGCTGTTTTTTTTAAAGTTTATGTCGTAGTCTCTCTCAAGCACATCAAAAAAGAAAACTCATTTTTGAATTTCGACTTAAACAGAATTTATTTTTTAAAATTTCAACTCTTTTGATTTGTTTCTATCTTGATATAAGAACATCAAAATTACTGATATATATATCAACGATGTAAAAGACACACTTTTACCATAGCCATGTCTAAGACTAGGAATAACGAAAAATATTTGAAATTATGACAATAAACTATTCTCGATGCAATTTTTCAATTCAAAATTTGCAAATGAATTTTTCTAAAATAGAATATGATATTAACCTAAAAACAAATTCTATAAAAATGCAGTATCTTCGCAGCAATAAGTTAACAGCTCCAAATCTGTTCAGAATATTTATAGCTCATTATGTACATAATCTCAAATCACAAGTAATTAATCATTTAAGTCATAAATATTTTTTTAAATTATCGATATTTTGAATGAATAAAAATCAAAAACAACTTGTGTAAAACTTCAAACACATTGACAATATTCATCAGACTCAATTACCCAATATATTTTTTATTTTGATAATTTCTCAATCACACCCAATAACCTTATTCATGTCTAACAATAATAATATTGTCTTATTGAAGAATGTCAATTATTCAGAATCGAACAAAATAATTAAATTGAAACATATGTTCCTATAATTAATTATTAATACATACCATAGACTGGTCCTAGATCTCCTTCTTGACGTTGAGTAAAACCAAGTTTATCAAGAAATTCTCTTGTACCATTATCATTCCATATTTTAACATTTTTTTCATTAAGTATATTTGCATCTGTTTTTCCACTAATAATCCATAAAAGTTCTTCAATAACTCCACGCCAAAAGACACGTTTTGTTGTTAATAATGGAAAACATCCATTTCGTAAATTAAATCGCATATTTGTTGGACCAAATATAGAAAGTGTACCAATACCTGTTCGATCACTTTTTTTAACACCTTTTTCAATAATTTCTTTAACTATATTAAGATATTGTTTTTCTTCATGATTTATATTATCATTATTAGTGATAGATGTTTTTTGTTCATGATTTTCAGTAGACATCTATAATCATTAAAATAAAAATAAAAAACAAAAAAAAAAAACAAAAAGGTTATTTTAGATTAATAAAACATAATCGAGGTTAATGATAAAAAACATTGTCACGTAATTGCAGATATGTCGAATATAAAAAGAATGACAACATGAATAATAAGTACGACAGGTCAAAGAAATACTTTAATAATAGAAATGATTATTAAATGGTTCGAGTTAGATAAATAACAGATGATAAAAGTCATTTCAAACATGTTTTTATTCACAACGATATTAAAGGAAAGTATTGGTAGTTGTATATATATATATATATATTGTTTTTTTTTTTATAGATCATTTTATTTATCTTAATTTGAAAGATATCTTTCTTATATTTCATCGAAATATTTTTATTTTATTTTATTGTAAGATCAATTTAGATAGAAAAAAAAAGAAAAACAACATCATTTTAACAAAAAAATATTTTTATTCTTTTCTTCTTAACTATTATAGGTTTTCAAGTACTTCAATTGAAAAAAAATTCTTTCGTGTGGATAATTAAAAGCAGAAAGCTTTTCTATGATTCTTTTCTCATAATTATTAATTATGAATAGTTTTTATGCATATTTTTATTTTCAACTATTGTTACTTGAAAATATGGCTAAGTACAATTCGTTTTACTTAATCATACGATAGTACTAAAAAATAAATACCAATGTGTGTGTAATAATAGAAGAGAAAAAAAATAGCAAGTACTGATTTTTTTTCTATTTTCGCAAAAGGTTAGATAATCATTTTCATGTCAATATTAGGTGTACATGTTGGATAGAACAACAATGTAAATAAGTAGTGTGCTTTTCTTTTCTTCGATTGAGTAGAAAAGAAAATAAAAATTAAATAATACTAAAAATATGAATCGAAAAGGTCAAAGAGAAGGTGTGTATATTACGTATAATAGTAAAAAACAAAAGAAATAATGAGAATCTAGTTTTTTTTTTTTGTATTTTTCTTAGTAAATTTGAATTTAATAATGCATTTATACATAATTAATAGTATCTATATATAGATATATCTGATATATACATATGAGTTTATTCTTTATTAGCCTGATTTTTCTTTTTTGCGCACTTCCTAGTCATGTTTTCTTTTCTTTATCGCTAGACAAAGTTTTTTTTTTTTTTGTACTCGATATATAGATGTTTGCACATTCCGTACTTATCGACCTAAACGATAGTGTGTTTTGTGTCTGTTTTTTTTATGTTAAATGACATCCATAAGAGTTCGAATATGCCTGTCTTTTTCTTCTTGTTGCTTGCATGGTTGCACACAATCCACTATTTTTCGTATCCGTCCGCTGTGCTTCTTGTCTTTCTTTTTCTTTGGTTTTTTTCATTCTTTCGGTTTCTTTTGCTGTTACACATATTTCTTTCCTTTTACTCCCAGCCAGTCAGCCAGCAAGTGAGTCTGTTCGTTGTGAAAAGAAGAAATATCAGTCTATACGCTCATACAATTCAGCTTCTTGAGGCGAAGAAGTCGAAGGAGAAAAAAAAGGGATGAAGAGTCGAAAAAAAGCAAAAACGTACTGCTGTTGTTATTGCACCTAACAATTTACCTTCTCATTTACAAATTTATGTGTATGTGTGTATTTCTATATATATACTTGTCTAATTCAGCATTAGGAGAAAGTACACATTCGTTATCAGTCTTTATTTTTAATATCAACTATGTGAATATATGTGTTATTGATAAGCAATCACATGTCTTAATAATATTGTGCATCTCGACTAATAATATCTACTTGTGCATTAGTCTATTGATATTTATAAATAGATATGGGTATAGGTTTGTTCGTTTGATGCTAATTTTATATTTTTAGTAGATATGATATAATTATTTTAATCTTACATGAAAACAAATGAAAACAAAATAGAAAGTGCTTAAAATAAAAAAAACCAAATACTTCAATTTGAAATGCGTATATATATATAACCTGAGGAACAAGAAAAAATAAAAGAAAGTTTTGATCAAAATAAAAGTGAGTCTATAGGTTTTTTTTTCTTTTCAGATCCTTTTAACTTATATAAAGTTATGTACTTGTCAAGTATCGATGAAGTAAACAGTGTTGATATTGATGATAACTCACAAATACGACAAGGAACAACATCGCCTATTACTTCTAATGTATGTAACATTTGATTTGTACTTTTTTTTCTATCATTTTTTTATTCTTATTAATATCAATCAAATAGAAAAAAAAACTGATGTTTACGTATGTTTTTCATTTGATTTTCTACTTGATTACTTTATTAGCCGTCACAATCTTCGCCACCATCCTGTCCTACTTTACTTGTCATAGACGATAATTCAAATTCTGATGATACACCGTTAATTATATCTGACATTCCAATTAATTCTATGGTTTCTTCTGCTCAAATAGCATCGTCCTCTCCATTGTCTACCTTAGGTAAATTATTGTTAATTGAAGCAAAAAAAGAAATTTTATTAGAAAATATCTATTAAATGTAAATATATTTAGAACCTCCACAAGGTATATCTGAACAACAACGTCGTCGAAATTCATCCATAGCAAAATTACTTGGTGGTCAACCATTAACTAATCAACAATATGAAGGTTAATTATTTATTTATAATTAAAATTCTTTTACTTTTTTTATCTATTTCTTATAGAAATTAATCAACAAATACTTGATGATCAATCAAGTCAAAGTGTAACTAATAATAGTGATAATGGAACTGATACTGGAATTCAACGTTCACGTAGTTCTATAACAAGAACTTTACTAATGAATCCAGGTACATAAAAATTATTATATATGTATATCATTATTTTTTTTGGTTCTTTTTTGTATTTGTTCATCTTAAGAACGAAATGATAATACATTGCCGACGACAACAACAACAAAAACAAAAGCACGACCATCATCACCAGAATTTTCCAAAGACTTTGAATATTTAATACGTCGAGAACTTGATATTGAACATGCACCATCAACACTTAATAGAAATAGTAAATTTATCTCTTCTTAAAATAAAACAAAATTATTTAAACATATTTGATAGGTTCAACACCAAGTATTTTTCAGAATCTCAGTAGTGCTCGTAATTCACCTACTCATACTCAGTCACCATCACAATCAAAATTAAAACGAAAAAGGTAAATTATACAAAAATTAAAATAATTTATTTATTTTTCAAAAATATTTTAAAGAGTTAATCCAAAACAGCAACCAGTATCAACACCAACAATAAATAAATCATTGAATAATCCTCCATTCACTATACCTGATCCATTTGAACTTGATCATCCACCATCATCGTTAAATTCAGCACCGGTTTCTCGTTCTCATCATCATCAAAATGATTTATATCGTTTCGATATATCACATCCACATTCTCGCCATCATCATCATCATCAGCAGCAAAATCAACAACAACAACAACAACAACAACAACAATATTCATTACCAATGAACAGTTCAACACCTAATTCAGCTCCATTCATTTTTCATCAAATAAATCTAAATTCACCGAACTATGCACAATTTAAAATTCATCATGATCGTGTACCTATAATACCTTGTTCACCTGCATCTTCGTTATCATCATCATCATCATCATCATCATCATCGACATCATCATGCAATTGTTGTCGTTATCCTGCGACACCTGAATTAGCATCATCGACTTCAGTTTCATCTTTATCACCTAATCCATCATCGCCTTCTATCATACCACATCAAACAATTGCACCATCATCACGTAAAACTAAAGTAAATATTGCGAGGAGAAAGTAAAAAAAAAATGTTCTTTTCAAAATCGACTTTTTTTAGTTCGAAAAACTGATGTGTACTGTCATAAAAAAAAATGAAAGAACAAAAATAAATCGTTTCTTTTATAAAATGAAAAAAGAAAATTTAATAAAGAGTTCTTTGTAATAGAACATAACCGATAGAAACAAATATTAATAGTTTCTTTTCTATTTCATATTCTCTAAAGAATTTTTAAGAAACATGGAAATAAAAAAGATAAAAATCTTAATAGAAATCTATTTTGACATGACATTCTATTTATATTTTGGGATGGACTTAGAATAAAAATCGAGGATCTTTACAATTGGCTTGATTAAAAAATAAAAATCCATAAAGAAAATTGTTATTGTTAAATTTATAACGATGTTTTTTTTTATTTTCAATTTTAAAAGTAGTACTTAGTTAAAATAAAGTAAAAAAGAATTTTTTTTTTAATATACATTAGTCTAACTAAGTATTTTTCTCATTAAAATATATTCCTTGCTAGTTATAATAAACATGTTTTTATTGAATTATTTTGAATATCGAAAATATGTAATATTTCAAGATCATTTTATTTATAGAAATAAAAAGGATTATGTCTCGACGTATCCTATTAATAGAGATTTTTATATTTCTATTAAATAACATAGTACCATTGACAAAATGCTTGTAAATGGTAGTTTTTTTATGGGTATTTCCATGAGTAGTCAACCACAAAAATTATAAGACTCTCAGAAGATTTTTTTTTCATCTGTAAAGTTCATGGTGCTAATTATTTTGGTAAAAAAAAATATTGAAATTTACTCAATAAATTATAGTACTATGCACTATAATTTATTGAGTAAATTTGAATACCAGGGTCTTTTCTATCAAAATGATTAGCGCAATGAACGCTGAGAACTTTATGGTTGAGTATCCATGGAAGCATCTGTCAAAAATATAATATGCAAATCTTTTGTCGTTATTAGATAGCAAAACGTACATATTAAAATAGATACGTGATCAATGTTAATCTAACTCATTGAACTAGGACTAATATCAACGGGTTTAATTCAAACTGTTCTATGTATTTTTCTATTAATAAAATTTCATTGAAAGAAAATTTGATATAATCAGATGAGAAATATTTTTATAAAAGAAAAACACTACACATCTTGTAGAAAAATATATGAGACATTTCTAATAAAAATCGATTCATGAAACATTAAGTATAGGTAAAAACAAAAGAAAACATATTTTTGACCTATTCAAAACAGAACTTAGTCCATGACATTTTCTTCTAATAACTTGTTTTCTATTTGTTTATTTTAAGGCGATACATAATCGACCAGATATATATGAAATTCCAATGCAACGATCATATTCTGCTACGTCTAATTCATCGATTGCCTCATTATCATCACCACCATTATCGTCTGGTCACAGTATACCATTAAAAAAACGTTTACTTCATGCCTATAAAAATGAACAACGTCCTTCATCAACTCTGTGATTACTCCTTGTTTTTTGTTCTTCCTTCTTAACTACAGGAAAACATAAAATCTCATTATCATACCAAACCGAAAGAAAAAAAGAAAAGTATTTTCGTATAGTTTTTTCTTCTTTATCTTTGTTTTTGTTAAATGTATAAAATTCATTTGATGTCATATGTCCGTAACATAGACAACAGAACAAAAAAAAAAATATTATTTATATCACATATTATTAACAAATTTTGTATAGATTTCATCGACAGTCACCGTTGGCATATTAAGTTTAAGAATGAATTCTCCTAGTGGTAAATATTTTATAATATTATTTTGATTGTTATAAAGTTTTTTCATTAATAATTCAATTTTATTTGAATGCATTTCAATTATTGATTTTTGTAGATGAGTCAAACGAGATTTTGAATAAAATTGTTTCAGAAAATTTTGTATATGAATTGGTTGTTTTTGTAACCATTGAATATAGTTCGTTTGACGAGAAGAATTCGTCTAAGTAAAAATAAAAAATAAAACCAAAATATTAATTATATTATTTTTAATGATAAATTAGTTCGGTTATTTCACATTGATTTCATAGTTTACTGAATATTTTTATCATGTGTGATTCGATCAGAGGTCAAATTTCAATATTTAAAAAAATTCATAAATATGATCTCAAACATATATAAAGATAGTTATAAGAAATTTTTATTTCTTTTCCAAACTAGTAAAGATTAATGTTTATTGAAATAAGATATCTTTTTTTTTTCTATGATTCAAATGATTATTATTGATAACATACATACTTTTTGATTTGTTCGTTTTGTCTTATCAGTTGATTGAAATTTAATTAATTGAGTATAACGTTGTCGACATTGAACAGCTGATCGATCAGGTAGATGACTAGCAGCTAATGTTGACCAACAAATTGATGATTTTTTATTGGCATGTTGAAGTAAAATAGCATCTTCATCTGGTGTAAATGAACCTTTTTGTATATCAGGATTAAGATATGTCCATACATGAGTTATTTCACGTATACAACGATCACCAAGTAGATAAGCAGCATGAGCAACAGAAAAACGATAATCTTTTATTACTGAACAACGATATTTATATATAGATAAGAGACGATCTTTTTCAATTCGTGTAAAACGTCTAGAATATTTAAACAAAATAAGTAATAGATTTTTATGTTTATGAACAAGATTTTAAAATAATATGATTGGTTTTTTTTTCGATGATACTTGTCAAGTGTTCTTAACAGATTCACAAATAGAAATAAATATATTTCTGTTACTAGAAAAACAAAAAATAATGAATGTCAATCGATTTTATACAGAAAATTTTGAAGCCTATCAACTATAGAGAGTGTTTAATTTGATAAAATGCTTTTTTTACATTCATAGGAAATGTTAAACTAAACAGAACTATAAATTATATACATACAAATAGCCAATATATCAAATAAGTATATAACATTGCTGCTAAAAGTTCGAAAACATGTCTATCGAAAATTGAATCTTGAAAAGAATAATGAATATTAATTATATTAATGGAAATTAGAATTGGTTATATTAAAATATATATATATATTCTATCTTTTAATTATGTAATATGATACTTGACCTAGGAATGTTTTAAGAAATATATATTTAGTTTTATTAGAAGATTCTTTAAGAATATAGTACGAGAAGTTAAATAATATTTCATTAATTCTATCATGCTTGAATTCTGAATTTATATATTGAGAAAATATCTCAAAATTAACCTTTGACAGTTTTTAATAAAGTACTTTGACCTTAAAATTCACACTGATATATCTGTTAATACCTATGACGGCATTAGTTTTGATGTATTTTAATGTATACATTATCAAATTACGCATATTCTTTATTTGTTATGCATTCTAATTTTATTTTGCTTGAAACAAGGACAAAGAAAAAAATATATAGTTCTTTGAACCTTAATATCTTAAATAAGATTCTCGAGGCAGAATGATATTTAATTAATTCCACTCTAATAAATCATAAGAAACACTAATAAATAGGTTAAAGTTAATAAAAGAATTTAATTTAATGAGCACTTATTATCGACATATTCATCATTGAATAAATTCTAAAATAACTTTAGCTCTTTTGATGTTATTTTTGGAAAAAATGATCTTTTGATTACAGAATGTATTAGTACGAAATGAGTGATAGATAATTAATGTTTATGAGTAATATATAGTGTGTTTATGATAGATAATGCACTTTTGTTCAAAAGATAATTTATCGATAGGAGAAAGTTAAATAATCATAATAATAATTCCATCTTATCCAAATAATCCTATAACCTCAAAAAATTCATAAAATAGAATGTGAGTGTATGTCTTCTCATCATCTAGCCACGTTCTATAACTCTATGTTTTTACTATTCATTCTATTGTGTGTAATTGTTTTATTTCTCTCTTTTTTTTATTTATGTAAAAGTATGACTGTTATTGTATTCATAATAAATTTGGTGATCAAAAATATTCATAGTCTTGTTTTTTTTGTACTGTGTATATTTCTTAAATGTCTTAAAAATTCTACATGATATTCCAAAAGACCGAACGAAAAGCGAAAAATATAAATAGCTCGTCAACAATTCGACAGATTTAAACACTTTTCTTTTTACAGTTTGATCATATATTCATTAAAAGTTTTCAGGTAAAATATCTGCATACAAAGAAGTCACTATATAAAATAATTTTATTCATGGTCAAATTCGTATAAGCCAATAGTGTGAAACGATAACTACAAATTGAATATGGAAAAAACACGCCAACTAAACGTTGCAACTGCAACAAGTTCCAGTCATTTTTTTGCAATCAATATTATCGAAAATCGATGAACATAGAGTAATTACTGAAGAAAAAATTATGCTTGTAGAAATGAGTTAGAATCCAGTGTTCGGTCTATGTAACTCTACATCGGAGAACTGTTGAACAAATTGTATCTTGTATCGCTTTAATAAGAAATGTTCCATCCTAAACCGGTATGTTGTCGTTTGTGATAATGAGCAAGCTTGTGCAATAGACCGATTATTTTCGTCAGTACCAGTTTCACAAAATCGCTGGAATGTGGATCAGTTGGAGTGTTTTTGCCGAATTCGACTTGCACCTTTCATTTTACAATCGTACCAGACTCGAATTGGATCATCAATAAAACTAACAGGTGGACAAGAATAAATGATCAGATTTTGTATTTTATTTTTTCATTATATAATACGTTTTGTTAAAACACAAAATATACTACACGATGCAGCATGACAAAGCTCTACAATCTACAACAGTGTCCGGCATGGGTCAAATTCTTGTAATCCGATCCGAGCCGAAATCTAGTATCGACCACTCTCCTTTATCTGTCGAGAAAATCAATTTCTCAATCATTTTTTTTTCCTTTCATATCGCAGTTGGAGAAAAAGGACATGTCTCTGACATTCCGCAGATGTTCTGGAATTGGGACAATACAGTTATGTGATAAAATGTTTTCTGATTTGTCTTTCTTTTCTTATGTATACAACCTGCAACCTATATGAGACCATGGAACATACAATGTACTCGTTATGCATCGTTGTCCAAAGCCAATAAAGAAAAGTCGGTGGAGTAGAAGAAAAGATCGTGCAATACATAACTTTTTCTTCTACTAAACTTTTCTATGCTCTCTTATAAAACTTTTAAATGAAAAACATATTTCGATTGCCTTTTTAATCTGCAAAATGTTCAGACTTCACATCCATCCTGAAGTTGAAAAATTTTTTCGTAACCCGGCTCCATATGAACTATGTTTTTGTGATCCGATCCGAAATAACAAGTCACGTCTGCATAAATGTGTTAGTTAATTAAAAAAAAATTAAATCTGAAGACCTACGAAAAGTAGTTATACGAATGCTTGATGATAGCATAACATCGGTTCAAATAGCTAAACAATTATGAGACATAGTCAATGGAATAAAGCTAAAAACTATGATTCATTAATTGATGAAATAAGAAAAGGAACTCGTCATGTACCAACAAATGATCCTGTTCACAGAATTTTGTGTCTGTTTTGAAAACTAAGAGTGCCCTTTCATAAAATAAACTTTTCACGCTGCATATTTTGGTATATATTACTTTTTAATAAAACGTATTAGATGATGAAAAAATAAAATACAAAACGCGATCATTTATTCTAGTTCACCCATTATTTTAATTCTGATTTCTATAGATACAGACATTCTATTTGAAAATTTTAATGAATATGTGATCAAATTGTAACAAAAAAAATATATAAATCTTTTGAATTGCTGATGAGCTATTCACGTCTTGTTTTTTGCGTTCGGATTTTCTAAACATCCTGTATATATTTGCTTTAATAATTTATATCCTATTAAAATTATTATGAAATAACATAGTTACAAAACAGTAAGTCTCAAATCTTCGAAAAAAATTCATCTAACTTTAAGATTGATTAAGACTTTTATTTTATTCTTTACCTTTTTGAATATAGTTTATTATTTTTTGACATATATCGTTGTGCACACATATATGCTGATTTTTTATTTTTCTGAAATAATAAAATAATTCGTTATATATTTTTGATAATTATTTTTTTTTTCTTTTTGTAAATATCTTTTTACTTGAAATATTTCATGTTGTGAAATTTCTAACCATTTTCCATAACCCAATTGTTCAACTAATTGATTTAAAATTTCATCTTCTTTATTAGACCATGAATTATTTAATTCATATTGACCACGATGTTTCCATATACGTTTTAATGAAGATTCATCAAAATATTTAAAACTACCTGCACTTCTCATTTTTGTTCCAATTAATTTCCAATCAACTTGTTCAATTAAAATATCTTTTGAATTTCCACTTAATTCATATAATTTTTCAATATTAATTGATTTTTCCATAAATTTTAATTCATATAATTTATTTTTTAAATCATTTTTATTTTGTTCATTTTTACTTGCACGTTCTTCTTCATTTTTTAATTCAAGTTCAATCCAATGT